GACGGCACATAACAACAACAACAATGTGGAAGTAAATTGTCACATTTTTGTTCTGTAGAGTGACTCGTGGGTTTGAACCGCTGACCTTTCGGTGAGCGGCTGAGTGCTTAACCACAGTGCCACCTGGGCTCCTTTAGAAATTATAGCTCATAGAAACTCAAATTGGTGAAAACACTTTGTCCAGGGATAATTCATCTGTCTGCTTTTTGATGTAGTTGAAAAGTTTAAAACATATGGTCCATACTCACATAATTAAATTGAATGACATGTCGTAGCAATTGTTGAACATGCACTAGGAACTTAGCAGTGTTCAAGGTAATTTATATATACTGTCTTGCTTAATTCTCACTACAACTTTATGAGCTAGTTATTAAGACCTCTGTTTAATATTTAAGGAGACTGGAACTCATAGCTTTAAGTATTTAGCTTAGGTCATAGAGTAAATGGCTGCTGTTGGAGTTGAATAGAAGTAAGTGTAGTGAATTCTAAAGTCTGTGGTCTGTCCTCTGTCCCATGCTTGCTTCTTCAGTGGGTGGTGACCCTAGCCAAGAGTCCTATCAGTCTCAGGAATTCCTGTACTTACTTAAAACAACTAATAGCCTTTGGATTTAATAATTCTTGTTTCATAAGGAGTAAACTGAAATTGTACTCAGATTCTACCTCTGTCTGTGGCTGTCCTACATTGAGAGATCGTGTTTTCCAAACCAGCTTTTAGGACATCGTAGACCAATGTTGTCCAATGGTGGAATAAAGTGTTTGAAATTAGACTTTCTAGGAAGATCCAAGGTCTGTAAAGGGGTCTCCTCCATCCTCTCCTCCCTTCCCTCTCCTCACTCTTACCCACCAGGTCTGTGTGAGGCTGGAGTTTGGCATAAGTGAAAAAGACCCACGAAAACTATTGGTTTCATATGAGAACGTGGCAGATAGAGCATGTCTCTCTCATTATTCAAGTGGCATGAGTTCCTGGGAGGGGATCGTGTGTGGAAGGGTTGTGATTGCCTGGGGCATCTTGTTGGCATGTTCTCAAGGAAATTCCCGTTTGTACAGAGGGCTTTTTTTTTTTTTTTTAAAGTGGGTAAACTGAAGGAGAAAGAATATTTATTTAGCACAGAACCCCTCAGACTTCCTTTACATTTTTTGAAAATAACTAATGATATCTATTTAAGTTGTCTGTCTTCTTTGGTATATCTAAATAACACTAAATTCAAATATGTTTTAAAGTGCTTTAACCCCTTTCAAATGTTTGAAAGCAAATACTTTGATAAGTATGGGTTTTGGTGTCGTGGCCAGCATGACAATTCTAGAACAGGTGGTAAGAGAATGAGTTAAAAATAAGAGAAAAGTAAAAGGATGGGAACGGGAGGGACACTCAGAGCTATTGCAAAGCAGTGTCAACTTTATTATGATTCTTCTCAAGATTATATACAGATTGAATAAGGAAAGGATATGAAAAGAATATAATTAACAAGTTACAGATTAAATTCAATCATTCTTGTTTCCGGGACTTTCACGTCACCAAAACTCAAATTACTATGACTCAGGTCACCATGACCTCCTAAATTCCAGCCTCATACTTGTATGTAATTATGTTCCCTATAAATCTTATGATCCTTATTAACTTATTAACTTTAGATTGGCTTCTTTATACTCTGGTTCAACTAAAGTTATGCCCCTTTTGCACCTGCTGTTTCTCTGAACAACACAAGGGAGAAAATGGCTGATGGTGTTCTAAGAGCAGGGCTCAACCTTCAGGGACACTTAAGAGCATCAACCCACAAGACTTAGGGCCCATCAGTCCTAGTCCTTATGGGGACACTAAAAGTATCAACCTATTTATGGGAGCCGTTGCTCAGTCACTCACCATGTCCCAACAGTCCTTTAAGACTTAGGGCTCTCCACATTTTGGAAGGGAGCAGACTTGACTTTGAGTCCTAGGTTTGTAATGTGAGGAAAGTAATCTATCTTACAGTGTTGCTTGCTTCAGCTGAGGTTATGTACCTAGGTTGTTCAGGAGAGCAGCACCAGAAAGTACTATTGCATGCTTGCATGCCTCTATACGTTGTTAATTGTCTTTGAGTAGGGTCTGACTCATGGCATTCCTGTGTGCAATAGAATGAAACATTGCAGAGTCTACACCATCTTCCCAGCTGTTAGATTGAATGACGGTCTGTGTGATCCACAGGGTTTTCATTGGCTGATTTTTGGAAGTAGATCCCCAGGCCTTTCTTCCTACCCTGTCTTAGTCTGGAAGATTCACCGAAACTGGTCCATAATGGATCACCCTGCTAGTGTTCGAAATAGTGGAGGCATAGCTTTAGCACCATAGCAATGTGAAGCTCCCTCAGTATTAACAACTGATGGATGGATGGAGGACATACATACATACATATGTATGTATATATGTATGCATGTATATATGAAGAAAGCAGAAATCCTCACAACTGGACATCTTGGTCAGTGGAAAAAAGATTAAAGTTGTCAAGGATTTCATTTTCCTTGGATCCATAATCAACACCCATGGAAGCATCAGTCAGGAAATCAAATGACACTGCATTTGGCAAATCTGCTACAAAAAAGCTGTTTAAAGTGTTAAAAAACAAAGATGTCACTTTGGGGACTAAGGTCCACCTGACCCAAGCCATGGTATTTTCAAATAAAGAAGACTGAAGAATTGATGCCTTTGAATTATGGTGTTGGTGAAGACTAGTGAATATTCTGTGGACTACAAGAAAAAACAGAACAACACAAAACAAAAACCCAAACTCACTGCCATGGAGTCAGATCTGACTCCTAGCGACCCCTCCTTGGGTTTCCAAGGCAGTGTCACTACAGAAGTAGATTGTCTGATCTTCCTGCTGAGGAGTAACTGGTAGATTTGAACCGCCAGCCTTCTGGTTAGCGGTCTACGCCACCAGAGCTCCCATGGACTATGAGAATGAGCAAGTCTGTCGTGGAAGAAGCGCAGTTAGAATGTTCCTTAGGAGTGAGGGTGGTGAGACTTCATCGCATGTGCTTTGGTCATGTTACCAGGAGGGATCAGTCTCTGGAGAAGGACATCCTGGTTGGTTAAATAGAGGATCAGCAAAAAAGAGGAAGACCCTCAGGGTGAGATTAATTGGCACAGTGGCTACAACAGTGGACTTAAATGTAGCACTGATTGTGAGGATGGCGCAGGACTGGGCAGTTCTTCGTTCTGTTGTACATGGAGTTGCTACGAGCTGGAAAACATCTCCTTATTTATTGCTAGTGCCTAAGGCATTTGACTGCTAAGAAGGCTGGCGGTTCAAACC